AGCGCTAGCCATCTCAAAGCTCGGTGGTCGAGCGCGAGAATGGGCACTGACGTGCGGCGCTTCGGTTGAAGCTGCGTTTCCCTTCTGGGTGGAGCTAAAATTGCAGCTCTCACGAGTGTTCTCGCCGCCTACTCAGACAAATCGCGTACGATCGCGCTTCCTTGCCGCCCGACAGGGCAATAAGGAATTGGTGGACTTTGTCCAAGAGATGCGCACTCTCATTGCCGGGATGTCAGCAGATCCCTTTCCGGAGGCGGTCACGGTGACCGTCTTTATGGAAGTCCTCCGTGCATCCATCTTCATTTGAAGAGGCGGTGAATGTGGCATTAAATGCCGAAATTAATTTCAAGTCGGCACAACTCGGTTGGAATGCCCACTCCAACAGCTCGTCGGGCGGGTCTGTGCCCATGGATCTCAGCTATGCTGAGGACGAGGGAGCAGAGCTCCGAGCAGCACACAAACACACACGACGGTGATATGTCTTTGAAGACACCCGTCATCTTTGGAACGATTGCCCCCGGCGCAAGGCGCTTCTACGATCTTCGAACCATCGCCCCAATTCCTACCAGTCTGGTTCGTCGCGGGGAAGCGACACCACCCAGTAGGCGCGGGGTGACCTACTGGGGAAGTACTTAGTTCTGTTAAGCCTCAGGGAAGCATAGGTCAGCAGAATTCAGCTCCGAAGAGCTCTGTGCTCTTGAACACAGAACGTATATGCAAGCCGGGCTTTCTGGTCGTGGAGGCGACCGTAAAGGGCTTCGAGAAGCCGGAAGATCCTCATCGATTCCGGGGCGTCGGGCAATTATGCTCGACGCTCCACGATGGAAGGTAGTCAGCTGTATGCTAAGGCGCTGAAAGCGCGGTTGGGCGAATCGTCGCTGTTCGTTTAGTGACGGAAACGCGTGTCACGGTCCCGAAGGTCCCTGTGGACCTCGGAGTCAAGCTTCTGAACGCTGTCTAGTCTTAGACTTGGATGCAAGGTATGACCTCATTTTAGGAATGGCATGGATGGAACAACATGAGTCATGGATTAATTGGAGGTCAAAGACCGTGGTCGCTACGCACGTCTCCTGGTGAAGCTTTGGCGAGTCATGAACCCACCTCTGCTAGGAGCCAAAAGATCTATTGGTAAGAGCACTGGACCGAGACGGTCAACGTGCTAGACATTGGAATGTCCGAGTTGGTAGATTCCAACGGTGTATTGGACAGGATGGCTCGCGGGCTGATCGTGGAGTGGCACGTAACCCACTGGG